CACCTATTATTTGGGGTACCCCAAAAAGGGACCCTAATTTTGACAACTACCCAAATGCCAGTAGAGCCGAGGTGTTCAGAGCGCATGGACTCGACGTTTCCTTGTTGACGGATCCTGCTCCCAGTGGTCTGGAGCCTGGACCTCCAAGGCCTTTCAGGGATTTCACGACAAGTTCGAAGACTCACGAATCCTCGGTACAGCCCCTTCAGTAAGGACATCGGATCCCTCAGGACCCCTAAGAAAGATATGGGTAGTTTTCAAAACAGGGTCCCTGTTGGGGTCCTTTTTTATAAGGGTGCCGTACTATATTCGGGACCCAAAAAAGGACCCTAATTTAGAGAACTACAAATAAGGCCTGAAAGCGGCTTTTGGAGGAGGCGCCAGGATTCGATGGGAGCGCCCCAAACAAAGAAACCTACCCCAAAGCCCCAAGAAATGAAACCTAGACTAATCATTCCTGAGAAAGAAGATCCCAGGGAGCCCTCTGTGACTTGGGCAACAGAAAAACCAAAAAAAACTTTTAGTTACGAAGTGGGAAACTTGCAGGGAAAAGGAAGCAAAGCACTGAGACTCAGACTCCGCTCTGGATGAGCTCTGATTAGAACCCTGAAACCCAAACGTCAGATTGAGCAGAAGGGAAGCGAAGGCTCAGAAAAAGTAAATAAATAGATAAATAAAAGCAAACATATAAAAGAGCCCAAGATCCTCCTCGGCCTCCCTCTCGCCAGGCCCAGGGAGGAGTGGCCCAAGGAGATCAACAACCTCCGGCTCTCCGAGAGGCTGGAGTTCGAAAGGCCCCCCCTCGGCAAGGAAAAGCTTCTGCGACCGGGAAGAGGGCGATGGAAGAAAGAAGAAGAAGACACCCTGGGACATTAAGGGAGCCCAGTGAAGGGAGTGTGGAACTTCTGGATATGATTCCTTCATGATAGCTCTCAACCCGTTTCTACAACTGTTAAGTTAAGACCCCCCATATTACGGGCAGGTGGTTTGGGTATTGGATCCTCACTTCGAGTTGGGCTTGGTGGGCTTACTGTAGGTGTTCGCAGTCTATGCATGCCAGTGTACCGAAAGATACACGTACGAAATGCTCTTCTCATACATTATGTTTCGAATTTCATTACAGTTACATTGCATGACATGCAGATGTGTGCTGTGTGCATGCATAGCCTTCAAAGCGTAGTTGGACTACGCTCAGTGACTCAGAGCTATCGCTGAACTCCTGCATGTTCAGGCATCTTCTTCTCGGCAAGATGACGCCCCTAGAAAAGTACGGTGCCTTGCCCTGAACTGCGAGCACTGCATTAGCTGGGTTTAGGGCTTGGGGCCTGGGGTTCAGGAAAACAGGGGTCTGCGTGTGCCTTGACGCGCATATCTGGCGAGGCATCAAGTCGGACAAGCAGGACCTGGAGCAAGCCCTGGCTAACCTGAGAGCGATTGCTTCGTCATTCCACAGCAAGCTCTGATCGCATAGCGCATAGCGGTCTGTTCGTCGGCACACGGGCTGCACAAAGCTGGCGAAACCTGGTGAGAGCCATGCTCCCAGAAGCCGTGTTCCTGACAAGTGAACCCACTCTTTGATACACATTTGCGTTGCATATAGTGTTTCTCTTGGATTTCTCTTTTGGGTTGCAGTGTACAGCCTTGCAACAGCCAGCGAAGAAACCGCTGTCACAAATTCCCGGGACGTGCCGCCATGCAGCTCAGGCTGAGACAGAAAAGACCACAGTGTGAGGCAAGCGCTTGTGCAGGAGTATAGCAATTTAGCAGCAACCTCCTGCATCAGGTGTTTGTCAGGTTACACTTACATGCCCTTAAGCCTGTGGCAGGGGGACGTGTGTGGGCTGATTCGGGGCCCTTGAGTGGCACTGCGGGTTGCGAGGGAACATGCCCTTTTGGGGGACTCGCCGGAGCCGAGGAAGCACCGCTGAAAGACCCGTCGCCGGCCATCCAGAAGCAGCCAGGACCGGCTTCAAGGGTGGGCTGCAGTTCAGGTCATGCTGGTGGTAGCCTTTGAAGTTGTTTGCTGCAGCACCTTATCGCGGTCACACCACAGTGGGCTTCATAAATCTGAAACCGACAAGACAGATCTGAAATCCCAACTGTAATTTGGTAAAGCCGCTGTGTAGTGCTCTGCAGTCTCCATCCTAACTCCGAACTTGTTCATCGTTCTTAAAGCCTCACCCCTTCCAGGCCAAGGGAGAAAACGCCCAGAAGAGTCAAACACAGGCCCGGGCTTTCGAACAGGCGGGGGGAAGGGATGGTTTAGCGGTATAGGGCTTTTCGGGTTCAGCAGTCCTAGGCCCAGCTTATGTCTGAAAGGATTGTGGGTGAAATAGCCTGAATCTCAGATAACCATTAGCCCATGCTATCGATCCTGTCCTTACTGCAACTAGTTTCCCCAACAAAGACACCCAGAACAAGGATTGCCTCGGAGCTAGGGCTTCAGGGCTTCAGGGCGTCAGCCGTAAGGCTTGGGATTCACCGGTTGCATCTGGACTTCTACCTTTGAGGTCTTGGGCTCAGACATGAAGGTGATCAATTTGCGTATGCCCGTATTTGCGAGAGAATCCTTGGACTCTCATGAGATTCGGTCTTCGACAAGGCCTGTGCTCGCAGCGCCATCGGTCTGAGGGAGGAGCTTAGGAGTTGTGGGAGTGCGAGAAAAACTGGACCTGATGGGTAGAACGTTTAAATTGCCAACAGCGTCCATATTGAACCGCGCAGCGCCGCTATTCAAGCTGTGACAAGAAGAAGCACACTAGCATTGTGCACCATAAACCATGAAAGCAACGACAACGGCGAGTGCTCCAACTCCCCACGACCTCCAGGTTTTCATGCAAAGTCGTTAAGCTTTGCTAGGAAACGTTCGCATCTTTCCACCGCCCCTTAGGGAACCCCGAGCCCTCAAATTGACTCAAGCGGAGGCATGTCGGTGACGTGGGGGAGGCAGGGTGGTGACTGGAGACTGCTGGAACTAAGCACTTCAGTCCGAAACACCAAAACCTAAAATACTTTAGCCCTAGGACGGAAGACTCTGAAAACCCAAGCCCGCCTGAAAGCTGCTGGATCGGAGGGGCAGAGTGCACAGAGCTGATGTTTCTGTTCCCTTTTGGATTGCAGGATGTAGTATAGGGTTCGGAACAGTACGAATAGCAATCCTTGAAATCCGTATGTAGCTGTAATATGATATACCCCCAAGCCCTACTCTCATTATGAAGGCCCCTACATTAGAGCTTGGCTTTCTCGCTAACTTGTTGGTATTCGTTGCCGAGAGCCCCGCTCGCCGCTCGCCTCCCCGAACTGTCGAAAAAGCCGGATTTGGAATCATAAAGAGCTGGAAGTAGCTGATAATGTCCCGGCCTGGATTTAGAATGGGATTTTGACGTTTGTTCCCGTGTAACTATGCAAAGCACACGAAGCACTCCAAAACAATTCGAACTGAAGAATATGCTGAGCTCAACCAGGGGATCTTGGCCTATGTCTAACACGTCTCGTTTGCGCGGATAGCGGGGTCTAGGAGTCCAGGGCTCAGAAGGCCCATGGGACCGAGCCTTGAGGCTTGTCCCTACACTCCGAAACACTCCCTGCGCAGCTTTTAAGGCTTCAAGGTCTCTTAACTTGGGTGTTGAGTCCGAAAGCCCCTCTCTAGACGGAAGACGTTCAAAAGGTAAAGCCCTGGAAGGGCCCAATGCGCCCCTTAGTGAAGGAGTATGCATTAAGCTGTTTCAAAGTATCATTGTACTTTTATTGGAGGCATCCTCCTAATCACCCTGTCCCCTGTCTCGAGATCTTGGAGAGGGCATGAGAGATTTCGACGGACAGGGGACTCCGAATTTCTCCATGCGCTGAAGCCCGCCGGACACGAACCCACCCGGAACCCCAAGTGCCAAGCCCCAAACACTCACCCCGAAACCCTAAAACTTTCTTGGATGTTGTTCCTAAACCCTATAAACCCCTAACCCTAAACCCTAAACCCTACTAAACCCTATACCCTCGGCTTATCAAAACCTCCCTAAACCCCGCAGGTCCTGGGTCGAGGATCGGCCACCCGTACTCGCGGGATTCCGGAGCCGACAGCTGCCTCCGGCGCCACCTCAGTGGGTGCCTCGCCTTGGCCTGGTCCCTGCTGAAAGTAGTGGTGCTATAAACAATCGGAACAAAAAATAGCAAATATATATATATATATATATACACACTGCTATGTTGATTATTATTATTATTGTTATTACTATTACTATTGTTATTTATTATTATTATTATTATTATTATCAGTATATATATATATATATATTGATATATTGATATATTGCTAATCCTTTATTGTTCTTGCGAAGAGTAAAGGAAATATTTATGACAGGAAGATGATGGTTATATGACTCTGAATGCTTAATCCTGGCTCTTGCTAAGGATCTGACAGACTAAGAATGTCAATTGCGGGTTTGGTTTGGGGGCCTTTAGGTTCTCCATGAAGGCGCAGGGTTTGAGAAGCGCTTGATGGGACTCCATGGAAAATGTGAGAGCACCGTCCTCCCGGCAGTTGTTCGAAGTGCCGAGGTCATAGGCTACCACTATTTGGGAGTTTCCCAAAACAAGGGCGTACCTTATTTCGGGGCCCCTACAATAAGGATCCTACTATTTGGGGTACTATATTAGAGTCACCCATTTTCGGAAACCCACATATACAGCTACCCCGACAGATAGCACCGGCTACAGACAGACTCCTTTCCATCTGTAATCAGTGATGCTATTCCTTGAGGTTCCGCTGATCGGTGTTGCGTTAGCCTAGAAGCTCTCAGGCTAGCAATCATGCTTCTACAAGGCCCGAGCTTCGAATCTTGTCTTCGGTCCGGCTAGCCATGAAGCACACAGCAAGCCCCGAACCAAGGCCGGGAGAAACAGATAATATGACATAAGAAAGCATATTATAATGTAATAGAATACAGTATCATATAATATAATATGATATAGTATGATATAGCACCACCATGGCTCGGAGTTTCCTAGGGGTCATGGCCACAGTCAGCCACACTGAACTGCCATCACCGGGAGCGCAGCCAACATCACCACGATCATCCTTCTCAGTGTCCGAGAGAATCACGAGCCAGCCCCGAGGGTTTTGTGACAAATCGGTGCCCTTTCTTGAATCCGCTTTTTGTTTACTTCAGAACTTTCTCTCTCTTTGTCTCTCTCTCTCTC